CGATTGCGTCGAGAAAGGAAGGCTAAGCAAGTCTTTCTTGCCAAACCATCCGGCAGAAGGCCGAGGGGACGGCCAAGATTAACCTGGTGCAAACGTATGGAAGAAGTCTGTTCCAGACTCCATTTGTCTTTCGCCGAAGCTTAGTCTCTGACACATGATCTGGAACGTTTGGTGCTCTGTTTGACGTGTCTGCCTCCGCGATCGGATAGGAGAAGTTGTCATGGAAGATGAAGATGATTATATACAGCGATTCATATGTACGCCTACTGGAGTACATATCAGTCACTCGGCCCATTCAGATACTGCATAATGGTCATTGTCGCAGCTGAGACTCTATGAGTTGTTGACTGCCGCTCTGAAAGGCAATACTTAAAAAAGATTTGACATTGTTCTACCATGTTGTGCAATTTTAACTGCACATCTTTAATGACGTATCTAGTCTGTTCCGGTTTCACGTTCTAAAGCTTTTAAAATAACGTTGTTGTCGAAAGATGATTATTTTTAATTTAGGTTTGTTCGTCGAATAACGAATCCTTCATGAATGAAGTCACAGGTTAAGTATTGTGTTATGTTATGCATTTTAAACTTATGTTCTGTTAACTTGTGTTATGTATTTTAAATGTGGCAACCAATGTGACTCGTGTACTTCGAACATAGAGTCAGAGACGTAGGTTATTGAGACGCAGGTTAACGTCTGAATCTTGCCGCATTTGCATGACATTTCTTTGATCTGTCGATTCTGCATTTCTCTTCTCACACCCTTCTGCCAATAAGTGATACTAACGTTCGCGAAACTCTCTTGTTAAAAAATTTTTTTCTAAGACAGTATAACTACTGCTCATCCAGTCAGATGGAAGGTATATTACAAATGATTATTTATTTTATTTTTGGTATATCAAAATCAAAGGAATTCCGTTATTTTCTATAAAGAAACAGTATTTTGATATGTTTTCTGATAAAGGAACTACTTTAAGGTCTCTGATATGCTAGAAAACGTTAGCCTCGACCATTCAGGGAAATTAGCAACGCATTCAATGAACTGCAATTTACCTATCTGTAGTATTGTTAATCGCTTAAATAATCCATATGGAACAATGCCAAGCCGTTCAGAACCTCGCACAAGAAGCGTAAAGAAGTGTTTATAAGACTGGAAGAGGAGTGAAAAAATAATATATAACGGGTATATGACAGATTAAGACAAACAGAATTGTAGTAAAAGTGATTGAATTAGGGAAATCTGACGTTTTGGAACAAGCTTGGTCCGTCTTCAGAGTAAATTGACAAAAGGCACATAATGAGGGACCCAGTTGGTCCGAAACGTGAGATGTCCCTAATTGAAGAACATTTTATGCGTTGTCTTTCCGTTTGTGACTTACCTAAAGATTATATCAATTCCGCATATAGAAGTCATGTACAGTTTCTAAAGGTGATTAAAGGCATATTTACTCGAACAGTTTATCTTCTCTGCTTGCCGATTGATGAGGCATCTGATGATGAAATCCATAATAGATTTTCTGCAAGCGTCTGTGGGATGGAAAATAGGTTTGAAATGGTTCGTTGTTCTCGTTGACAATGGGGTTGCCCTAGGTCAGGAAAGAGTGGACGCCTGCTTTCGATTTAAATTCATCGTCTGACTTTGAGGGCTGGCTTAATAGTTTTCCTGACAATCTCGTGCATCAAATTGGTGGGACCAATGTAAATATGAAAGGCTTAAAGTCTTACGGATTTGTGAATTCTGGGCGATCTGAATGGCGAAACCTAAAAAAATACCGGTACTATACATGGTATGTGAGTTACTGTGTGCACTTTCGTAAAGTATCTATGTATTCTGGTCCGAAAGTCGAATGTTTTCAGTTCGAATCAAAAAAGCCCATGACAGACCTTCTTCATAATGTCGTTTACGCATTTAATTGACGATCCTTTGAGTTTTATTGGTGGCTGTTGCATGCTTAATAGCCAGTGAGCCATTTGTCTTTGTGACGGGAACGCGCAATCCAGTGATTAAACTGCAGTCATTTCCAAATCTGAATTTGCCGACCATTTGCGATTGTCGTTATAATGCTTTTAATATCAACAAGGCAATTCAGCAGCACGTTCTGGAGTCATGGAGAACATTGAGGAATAAGCCTTAAGTAATAATAATGGAACTGACTCAGAAAACATCTCGATCGACAATCGATCCACGAATAATTACTTTTTGAGTGTTTAAAAATTGTGGTTAAAACATTTTCATCGGTCAGTGGCATAACAGTCGAAATGGATAAAATGCTTACGCGCCGTTGCTATATTACGTCAGAGAGCCGTACTTAAGCATACTCATTTTAGATGAACCAATCATCAGCTGTGGGACTGAGGCAATCATTGTTAGCTTTCGAACCAGAAACATGTTTTCAGGTAAACTTGAACAATTTTTATGTTTCTTCTTTTGCTGATGAAAAACCATGCAGGAGGTGAATCAAACGGCATCACAGCTATATAAATTTTACATATAAAATGGGATTTTGGAAATATTGCGGCGACTGGCATCAGATCGCCAGGAGTCATCATCCTCCATTAAAAATTAGGCGACATGAAAGAAAGATTTTGATTTAACTTCGTTGATGCTCAGACATGCCCCTATTCTGCCCAACTCAAAAATTGCAGCAAATACTCAAATGCCAGAGGGCGGTAACCTGCTTAAAGGGTCACCTACTGGACTAAACAAGGGATGGAGCAATTTCCCGTGCAAATTCGCTGCTTAGAATTGAAATGTTATATTTCCTGACCGAGTAAAAGCTTCCTTTTGCGATGGCTACCACAGAACATCAAGGTTATATATTTTATTTTGTGGATGATAGAAAAATTTCATCACTTATTTTCAGCTGTTAATATGGACGAAAAGTTTATTGAGCTTAAATTCTTGATACAAAAATCAAAGGTACAGTGACTATTTAGTAATCCCGTTCGGGATTACAGTCAGTAAGTTTTGAGGATCGTTTAACCTTTTAAGTCGGGATGCAGCAGTACTAGAGTGTCTCCAAAGTTTTTGATTCTGTATCAACGTGTGAGCTTCAGCAGTAGACAACCGGAGCGGAATCCGTTGAGGCATTTGTCCCAGAACATTCTTGGCCATCCCCGGCGTTTTCGATCAGTTAGTTGAACAAATAGTAGATGGTTCAGCTTCATTTCTAGAAGGTTTCGCTAAACGTTCCCAGGCCATTAGCTTTGACTGTTCAGTTTGAACAGCGGCAGTATGCCAAGTCATGCCAGGATATCTGAACTCTGGACTCTGTCAAGACGTGGCGAATTGTGACCAATTCTTCTGAGAACCCATTTCAGCCGCTTCTACCGGGGATCACAGTTTTTCATTCATGGGCCACGACTAATTGGTTAGCGTGGAAATCAGGGTTTGCAGACTGAGTAGTTTCTCTTATTGGTTTTTCTAATAAATTTATAGATATATTAAATGAATCACCAGTGCACCAAACCACTGTAGCTGTTTGCAAATTATCTGCTCATTCACTGATTCTCGGCTGGTTACTGTGGAACACAATGGCCGGACTTCATTTCGCAAAAGAATTTAGAGGTAGCAACGTATGTATACGCTACTTCGTGAAATAGAAACACGGTTAAACAACTAAGTCTTGAAACGACGCTTATCGCATTGTTTACCTCTCGCTATATCTCGGTGTAAACATAGGCGTGAGCGGAAAGAGATCATCTGCATCCCTTCATTTCGATGTACATGCACACATACTTAGTCCGTCCACTGTTCTACGAATTCGTATTGATTAACGTTGCAACAGTTCTTGAAGCGGCTGGGTGTTGTAATGCTTTTAATGCAAAAGGTACGAAAACGGGCTTCTAGTGCCACTGCCTAATTGCATAGATTCGTATTGCGCGCGAACAATCCATTGGCATTGCGAATGCTTTCAAGATGAACGCATAACTTGATTTTGGTTTATTTTAAGGGAAAGTTTACGTGAAAAACCATTATTCTGATCCGGAATGCCGCACCAATATTCAAGCATCGAGCGCTGAGGAACCGCGGCAGTTTGGCGTCACCTTTATCATCAGACATAACCATTGCGGCATGGAGAGAATGAGACCGGTAAGGCCAGAAACACTTGTCATGTTAAGTCCAGAACCAACCTACTGATTTCGCAAACCAGATTCGGTCACAAGGCGTTCAATATTCGACGGTGATCGTCGTTTCGTTTCATCCGATTTTCATCACCCAGTTCGATCGAGCTTTCAACATTATTTGCAACTACCAAGAATCCGACCAGACGGTTCTGTCAGAAATGGAAATTGGGTAATCTATTTCAAAGCAGGAGTCATTTTTGAATCAGATCGCTGTAGCATTCATTTTATTCAGACTAGAGATGAACATGAAATAATGCAAAAAATTTGGATAGATAATATAATGAATATAGAAAGAGGTATGTATGTGAGACTGAGAAGTGACAGGTAAAGAAATAAGAGTTTGTAACTGTAACTACAAGGGATATCGTTGTGCTTACGCTTCATCGACAGTAATTAATACAGCTTACAGCGTGCCATTGATCATTGTTTTGAAGTCGTTTATCTGGAGCGGCCTACGTTTGAAGGAAGTATGTACAGCTGTGGATCAAGCACGATATATAATTATCTGCTTCAGTCAACAGATTCAGTTACTCATTTGAGTACTTCAGAAGATGATACGCTAATAACCTTGGCGGGATTTCAACCAGTGAGTTAGCAGACTTTGCTTGAGCTTTAAGGTGGACGTTATGACATTTTTCAACAGTTTTAAAATATATGGTGAAGAGTGAGATCTAGATTTGCAGTTTAACGCCATATTAAACAGGTTAGCGAAAGTCGATATAATGAAAGAAATACATGGCTCACAAACAAAGTCCTACAGAATAAGTTGATGAATGGCGCTGCGGAAAATGCTGGGTTTCATGCATGGTTATTAAACAACAGCAGAATATCATCATTTGGAGAAAGCTACTTTCTCCAGTCACTAGTCAGTCAGATGAACAATCATAGCATTACAAATATAGGTTGGATAAAAGGGAAACATTTGAAGAAGATCCATAAACAGTTGCTAAAAAAGCAGCCATGAATAGAAAAACTAACAGACAAATCATGAAAAGTTGCTCATTGCTGCCACGAAAATTTGATTTAATGGC